ATTTTGAACTCCAAGGCTGTCCTTCCTCTGCGATAGGTTTTCCGAGGACGAGTACACTTGTTTGCCGGGAATATTTCCAAATTTCACTTTAAAAGAGCTTTTGCAAATCCTACAGCTGTCGTTAGGACGTCTTTCCGACATAACTTCACTCACATACTCGCTCGCTCGATTGATTCTGTTTCGCACGAAGTTGACAAATACACGTGTGTCAATGTTTTTGTCGGAAGTAAATTTTTGGCTTCCATCCGGTAAAAGCAAAAATCGATGTTCATTGGCTGCTCGCACATTTCCGGAAAAGCGCTGCTAATTAGGGGGCGTTTTGCGAAATCACAGGCTTTGCGGGCAGGCGTATGTTTTCCTTCCCCTCCCTCTCCCCCGTTGGCCATTTTTCCAGTCAACACCTATTACTCCCTCGGCAAATATTTTCTCGCCCCAATCCTCCACAGTTACTAAATCTAAGATGGCGGCCTAATACGAATATGTGCACTCGTGCGCCCAAAATACGCCGGCACTGCAGGCTACTCTTGGATTTATCAAACTTTAAATTTAGCTGTTTAGCTTTTTTCTCCTCTAGAATAGGGCATCTGGAGTATTTTTGGCTGTCGCAGAAGCCGTTCATGGCCAACTGAATTGAGACGCGACAAATACTTATTGTTCCACTCTGTTGATTTCTTAGTGTTAGCCTTTGCAAAACACACGATCCATTAAGAAACCATCTCAATTTGCGTTCCTACAAGTGTTCATCAAACATTCTACACTCCACCATATCATCTATATTATATATTAATGACTACTTATCAACCAAAATTTACAACATTCATCCAACAATGCGTTCATTACAAAAAGTTTCATCCAAAAAGACTTTCTAATTTTACTGTTTTATACAAACAAGGAATCATGCGTCAAAGAACGTTACGTTACTAAAAAAATGCACATGAAAATGTGGCACAAAGGAATGGATCTAGGATGGAATAAATCACCGGCAGTGACAAAACACTAAATGATCTTCCCAGTTTAAATTACACTGTACTTGTCAAGTTTTCATTTCTATGCTCCCACTATCAATACAAAACGAGGAAAAAAGAAATACGATTACAGTCAAACTAAGTGAAGCGTACCCCTCTGGATTACATTGATGATTTGATTCTTTGAATATTGAACCCGCGAATCGTTTCAGGAGCGCAATAACGAATTGAATATTTGAACATGGAACCCGCTAACCGTTTCAAGAATGCAATAATGGATTGATTATTTGAAAATTGAATCCGATAGCCGTATTCGTTTTGAAAAGTCGCGGATCATTGTTCAAATCAGAAGTCCATTTCTGATTGGATTATGCGAACATGTGATGATGTACAGGAACCATTTCAACATGGCGTCAGACATAGCGGGGAAGGTGAGTTCGAGTGTTGTGGAGAACTTCTTCTAAATGTTGTAAATGGAATGTTATCGAGAGCCTTTTTCGCCTATTTACATCTTAACGAAATTGTACAAATTCTTGTGTGTATTCATGGTAAAAAAAAATAGTTTATGGGCGAAGCCATCGCAAGATTTTTTTATTTCGTTAATATTTACGATGACTGTTTTCGCAATGTTTTTACTGTGCAGTTTGTTCATTTTCAGGATTCCTCGTCAAGTAGAACAATCATATTGGACTTCAGAAATGGACTTCTAATTTGAACAAAGATCCGCGCCTTTTCAAAACGGATACAGCGATCGGGTTCAATATTCAAATAATTAATCCATTATTGCATTCGTGAAACGGCTAGCGGGTTCAATAATCAAATAATCAATTCATTATTGCATTCTTGAAACGACTGGCGGGTTCAATATCCAAATGATCAATTCATTAATGTAATCTTGAGGGGTACGCTTCACTTAGTTTGACTGTAAATACGTTTGCATCGATAACTTGAAGTTTCAAATGTAACATAACAAAGTTAAGTTTTAACTGTTCCATAAATTTACAATGTTTCATTAATCAATCTCAATTTCAACTGAATAAGAAAAAATGGTTTTAATTTAAGGGTACGAGGACTTCAAAAGAGAATAGCATTATTCAAGAAAATCAGCGTTTTTTACAAAGAGAACAATTGCACTGCCGAAAAAGCACATCAGGCTAATCCCCTCAAATCTCGTCGTCGGAAGAATGCTGGCCTCCAAGAGAAGGCGTGGCGCCGATCGAGAACACTTCCTCAGACAATTCTTTAATGAGAGCCGTACTGTCCGTATCTGGGAAATCAACTACCGGGTTCATATCTTGATCTACCGCCAAAGTGTCCGATCTGTTACTCTCCTTACACTCGAAATTTGTTGGTGACAATCTCGAGAAGGCAGAGTCCATATCTGCTAAAGTATCTAAGGGATTTCTATTAACCAATTGACTCCCAAATCCCGAGTAAACGCCCGCCGGGGAGTTGTTAATCTCGGACGAAGACTCGCTCGTGCCATCCTCGGAACCTTTTCGGATGTCTTCGTTTTCTCTTGAAGGGTTATCTTCGGTATCATCCATGGGTTCGCCGTTATCACTGTCTTCAGACGAGGACGAAGAAGATGACGATGACGATGAGGAGGAATCTTCGGAATCTGAATTATCAGCTGAATCGTCGCTGCCTTCAGCGCTCGACTCTTCATCGTTCAGCTTCATTTTCTTTTTGACGATCCCACTTTCGCCCTCTGCACTGTTCAGCTTTCCACTTGTTGTAGTGTTAAAGCCAGCTTGTTCCTCGTTCGTTTTGTCTTCATTCTTCAACACTCCCACTTCGTCTGCTGCCTTCTCCTCAGTTTTATCCGAGCCGCTGTCGGAAAGCGTATTACTTCGTCGGCGCTTTCTCGGCCGAATAATCGGTCCCTCGTCATCATCCTCGGAGGCACTTTCGTCTTCATCTCCAGCAATGCCGTTTATAACCAATCCATCTCTTGACTTGTCAACGTGACTGTCGTTGAGCACGTCTACTTGCCGATCACCAGCGTCCCCCGAACCATCCTTGTTGTCTGCCGAACCGTTCTTTCCACCCTCAAGATGTCCGTTTGCAGCTTCGTTCTCTTTATCTACGAGTGCCAAGTTAGTGTGCACCAGGGGGGTCCATCTGAGTGCATCAGGGTCCAAGGAGATGCGAGCACTCATTCGTAATTTTTCCATGTGAGTTTTGATCAAGCGTTGGTTAACACACAGCACAAACCTGTGGGTCAACGAAATCAAAGTTTTTGATCAGTTACATCGCGAGTAATTTAGTTTCTAAAGGCAAAACCCACAAGGAGCTGCGTCATGGTTTGCGCACCATAAAACAAATTTGACCTCAACTCATTACGTTCGTTTATTCACTGAATCACTTTGAAACTTCTCTATTTTATGTCATCTTCGTTGCGTTTTGGTTTGTAATGGCCTCTTCTATCTCACTGAACTAATGATCTGTTTTCGACTTCAAGCTAGAGGTAAAATAACAAGTCGGCACTAGAAACTCGAGATATCGTCACACTGCCCCGATAAGGTACATGTATATCTTTTTGCTGATGATAAAAACAGCAGCTTTGGGAAGACTAGAACTTGTAAAGCTGTGCAAGCACACGTCTCTTCACACGGATCAACTGTCAAACCAGACTTCACCAGGTTAGCATACTCACTTTCCATCTTTTTTGTGAACCATGTTCAGTATCTGAAGAGTGGCAGCAATGTCATGCGGATCCATTCCGGTCGACTTACTGATCCCTACAAATGGGCCAGAAGCCTAGTCAACAACAGCAAACGTAACAAAACATATCAAAAATTTTTCCCGAGAACTTCCCATTTCGTTGTCGGATGTAGCCTTGACTGAGTTACAGAGAACTAGTCGGTCTGATAAGTCATATACTTTGTCCTTAAACGACATGCGGATTGTTTTTCAGATTGTTTTTCGAGCTCCGCTCGTAGAAACCAGATGAGTGTTCTAAACCGGCTGCCGCCATCGGAAACTCACGTGCAAGGGACGGCACATGCCTGCTTTCACGCACGTGTCACTTACGTTCATGCCGAACCTTTACCACTCAAGCTCCATTGTACATTTAGCTCAGCAACTTGAATGTCTAAAACAACTAAGCTCTGTCTGCCAATTGGTGTTTTACAATCCCCATTTGCAACCCACAAGTTTATAAAATGTTGCATTACGAAGGAAATCAAAACTAGAGATCCTTTACTTGTGTATCCGTGATATTGCGAGAAAAGATTCTACGTACATGACACCTCTACAACTCAACTTCTTCTGATAACGTGATCTTTTAAAGTCATCGTTCAAGGTGTGAGGCGAATAAAACTCCTGGAATTTGCGAAGGCGGGCAAAACTTCATACCTGCGATTGTGGTTAAGAGTGTCGCTTAATATCTTACTGTACAAGTGATCGATTTTGTACAAAATCGCTTAACTTCTTAATACAGTCAATAAAGTGTGACGAAACTTTTTCTTTTTTAAAAGGAAGCTCGCTTCTTCTACATCGATTTCAACAAAAAGCAAACAGCGTCGAGCTCATTACTAACTCGTTACTTCACTCACCTCGTATGGTTACATGCTTTTCCTTATGATCGTGCAAGTACTCTAGTAAAACACTCTTCCAGTAGCTACGATAGCTGATCAAGCCAAGGTCTGACAAAGGCTTTTCAGGGGAGCCTGGCTGGCCTTCGATTCTCGACAAGAGGTAACCTGGAAAGGCAAATGTTATCACGTTAAAAAAAAAAATCTATTTTGGCTTTGTTTCAAGGGTATATCAGGAATGAGGAAGGTGAGCCTATTATTCTTCGAAGTGACAAGTCAGACAAAAAAACATTATATTTTCCCTTCCATCTAAAAGTAATATTTCTGGGAAAACCGGGTAAGATTATGCAAAGATTATGCAAAGATTATGCAACGTTGAACCGTATGATCTGTGCATGAATTCTCACTGTTTACCAAATATTTTTCACGACACAATTTTGGATGAGTTAATTTTTTTGGTATAAATTCTCAGTACCGGTGTACCATTCAAGTACATGTAATGAGGCCTAGTACCAGCCCAAGCTGAAGGTTCTTAACCATAGGATGATACAGCTATACCTGCATCCAAGAGCCTTTCAATTACCCCTTCATAAGACCCTGATCCGACACTAGGTTCCCCTCCCCCTTCTCTAAGCCCCTAAGAGTTCTGCCGAGTTTCCAGTTCTCTGGTAGCCATTTGTTCTCCACTTAGGGGAAGAGAGGCAAGATGACGAATACATACATACATGTAAGTCAGGGGTGTAGCCAGGATTTTTCAAAGGGGGGGGGGGGGAAGGGGTCACAGAGGCTTCTCACCATTTACACCGCTGCTTTCCTGCGTGTATCAGCGGCTCAGTCGTATTATCGCGGCATGAAGGCCCATATTAACTAAATACAAGAGCCGCTGACGAAAATACTTTACAAAAAAAACAAATTTTAAAAAAGTGGGCTTTTCAACAATGACTTTTACGGCCAAGATATTGTCATGGCGTTTTCGCCACCTGAATATTGTAGGTTGTTTGCTCTAAAGAAGGCCTACCAAGGGGGGGTCACAGGCACCCCAGGACCCCCCTGGCTACGCCCTTGTAAGTGTATTGCTCAGGGACACAACACATCCCCGACCTTGGCTTGACACTGAACCTCTCAAACCGGAGTCTAACAAAGAAAGGTGCCCAAATGGTGACAGAATAAATGCTGCTGTATAAACAATAAACAGAACTTACTGAAGTCAATGAGCAAGCGGCCAAACCCTTGTCTTTGATAGTGGGGCATTGTCATAATACATGACACGTTGTACTTCTGTTGACAAGACTTTTCCTGAGGAAATAAAAATGATTACAGATTAACTGGAGTACACTGTACGCCTTTCTCAGCATTAAGTAATGTCATAGTTTTGCGTAAATTCTTTGTTTGTATCGAAAACGTTTCTGATTATGACGTCAGTCAGTATGAAAAAATGTCCCAATTACTTTAGTCTAAAAATTTGGCAAAACTGACCTTTGAGAAATATCCTACCAAATGACAGCCCTTTTTGTCGTTCTTCGTCAGAACATAAAACAGGAATGGCTCTACATCATACTAGAGGGTCTTATGATCAAGAAACAGCTTGGCTAACAGGCAAAGGTTCTGACAATAGATCTGCGTAAACAAAACAAAACAGTTGACTTCTAAAAACAAATGCTAAAAAAAAATTAAAATTTGGGTACAGAAAGGAGGAAAACCCGATCTCAGTGTCGTGCAAAGTTCATAAGGTGTTTACATGCCTCAACCTCTATCTATGCCTCCCTGTTTCAATCAAATGAAGCAACTGTTTAATGGTCCATCCCAAGTAACCACCAGGCAAATCTTAAAACCATTCTTGCATGGAGAGAGACACTGTGACAGCCAAGTTTCTCAACCCTCCCCCCCCCCAAAAAAATAAACATAAATCCTGAACCTTTTATCCAGAATTCAGTATTGTTACAACTTATCTTCCACATAATTACACATTTGCCTTATCCATACCAGTGTAGTTCTATAAAATAATGCACTAAATTCGAACAATAACTGGCCCATGTACATGCAAATACTAACAACATTTTCTGCATTTTAACATGATCGCACACATCTGCATGTGGCAGAGCGTTTCACCGTGCACTCACTTTGTTGACTGCACCATCCACTTCAAAAACAGAGATTTCACCTTTACGGTAAATTTCATTTGCTGGGGGGTGAAACCATTTGCATTTTGTCTACAAAAAAATGAGAAAGTAACATTTTTAATCTCACAGTGAAAGAATATTACAATTTGAAAAGAATGTTGTTACATGCATGTTTTAATTACCATGTGGCGCATAAGAATGCTGGTACTCTTCATATACTTGAGACAAAACTCACACAGGTATAGTTTGGGCAGCCTGCAAGACATTCATAGTAACGCCATCATTTGAAAAGAATAAGTTACCAGCAAATGTAGCATAGATTATCTGGGAATAACACACTTGGAAACTGCTATAGAACAAAGCTATAAACATAAACAAGTACAAATTGTACACCGCCAGTAGATAGATGTGTACCAAAATTACCTGGCATATTCTTGAGGATATGGTGACGAATACCAGGTAACTATCTCATAACGACCAAACTGGATTAATGGAGGGGATCGGGTACTTGGCACAAGAGTTGTAGATGTGTCCAGGTTCATGGCAGCATTTGCCTTCTCCTGAGCCTGTTTGAACAAAGCCAAATCTTCCTCTGTTACTCCTGTGAACAGACAATTCAAGAACAGCTAAACAATGGCTGCATTGATTTGGTAAACTTTTAAGACACTCACTATTCATCTTGAATTCAATTTCTAAAACCTTCCAGCTACACATACACATCCAGACATATTAAAAAGTTGTGCACGGAAAAATGCAACTTCTATAGAAGAGGCAAACGTAAGGTCACTCTCTGACAACACCTTGAATGTATTTTGCCACACAACATCCAAAACAAATTTGATGCAATATGGGCCATCTACTGCAGCTCACAGGTAGAACTCACAGTTCCTTTCTAAAAAAGCCACAGAGAACTCCTCCAATTTGTCACCTTGTCAATCAAATTCAAAAGACCATCATGCAAGATTTTGAAATAAACTGACCTGGTGGTAATTGTTGCTGTTTCCTCGGAGATGTGGGGGAGAGTGGAGTCATTGGCGTTGATTTACTGGAGGCTGGAGGTCTGCCAGGTCTCCTCTTAGGAGTTTCATCAACAGCTTTGGCATCATCATCAAATCTTTTCGCTTCATTTGCAATTGGGCAAGCTGGAAGACTGCAACACAATGACATCTAAAAGTAAGCAGCCTGAAAGCTGACTTTAGTTACATAACCCATACTTAACACTTAAAAATAGAAGTGCTTTAGCATCCATCGAAGAGTGTGTATGTTATCGTAAAATTCTATACATGCACAGAACTTGAAAAAAGGGTATAAGTTGAACTCAAGACAATCATAACACATAAATAAAAATATCCATAACAGGCCTTGGTGTTTGATGACTCTGTGAAGAGTGCTATGAGTAGATGGGCTTAAATCCCAAAGGGTGAGGGGAAATATCAAAATAACATCACACATTGACATCACTTCTGCTTGCAATGATCTACGAGGGTATAGGAAAGGGCATTTGCCACAAGTGTTGAATATCTCTGCTCTAATCCAAACAGCGTACTTGTTGTCAGTGTTATCAATGTGAATACAATTTCATCAAGGCAACAAATGTAATAATATACATGGCGAAAATTACACAGGTCTGATTGGCTGAAAGAGCATTTTCCATGTGATACAAGCATAAAGTTGCAGCACAAGTACAAATTTGAAAAAGCACATGCACGTTGTCAAAATTTTACCTGTCTTGTAATATCTACTTCTTAACTTCTTTGAAAAATTTACTTGTACTTTTCAACACCAAATTGTACTTGAAAGCATATTATTACTTATACAAAGTAGATGTTCCCAGCAGTTCCTAACATACCTCATTGGGATGTGTTCACTGTTTTTCTGAGTAATGGAACTTATAATCAGAAAAAATCTTTATGCACAATTAGACAGAACTATAACTGGTGAAGGGGGAGGGAGGCAGAGAGAATGTTTCATTCATGAACTTTGTAAAAGAATATCACCCTGAGGCATTAACAATGACCTTGCATACACAAAATGTACAACAGTTGTGTTGTACATTACATGTACCTTCTGTGAGATGTAAATCGTCCATTTACATGTCCTGATCCATCACATCCAGGCGTTGGGCATACACTTGATCTGTCCAACAAACAGAAACGATTTGCAATCAGCAAAATGAAAGAAAACAATGGACACTAGTTTTGCACATTTTGCACTACTCAACAAAATAAATTCCAATGGCTTAGGTACAGTGTGGTGAAAAGTGCAGTGTGAAGTATTTTCAATGCAATACTCTAGACACAATGTTAGTCAGTTTACCCTTACAGTTATAAAGTGTAAATAATAAGTGCTGGCTCTAATTACTAACCCTTGCACTTCAGCTGTTGCCTGAGGTTGAATTTTTCTGCGTGGCGGACTGGTAATGGGTGTTTCAACTTGCCCTTTCTTTCGTCGGCCAGGAGTTTTCACCTTACATCTTCTGCAAACCCAACTTCCTATGAGAAAAACAAAAAATACTCCCTAGAGCAATATCTAAACAAATAACACCACTTCTTTGGCCTGGTTGTCATTACTTTTAAAGCAAAAGACCATGCAAATTTGCCAAAAGTTGACTATGACACATCTAACAGGTAATGTGGATTCATTTTGAATAGAAACAGAAAAATGGAGATACCTTATTAGTGATGCAAAGAGTCACTACCTGTGGGTGTTTCTGTCATTGGAGGAGAAAGACATTCCATGTGGTATCCTTTGTCACATGCATCACAAAACAAAAGGTTATCCTGAAATGAAGGGAAAAAAGTCAGTCGTGCCAAAAAGAAAAGAAAACACCTATTTTGCAAGAGATTGTACAGAAAAACAATGTTAGTAATGGCATATGATGTATGTTCAAAGCAGGGGGATCATATTTTAAATCAATTTTTGGGGAACATAGAGGAGTTTTGCTGGTTTTTGACAAAAGCAACTAATTCTGGAAAATAGTAAGTCACAAGAAGGCAAAACAACCCATTTAATACATAGCAAAGCAGAAATTCTTTACCTTACTTAGGGTGAGCAGGACAACTACCTGACTGGCTGCCTGACTGGCTGCCTGACTGGCTGCCTGACTTTGGAGACTGTCACTTACAATATAAGTGAATATATAAATGTACATTGTAACAGTAAGAACTCCCAGTTAGCTCAATGGATAGAGCGCTGGACTGTTGTGCGGGAGGTCGAGGGTTCGAGCCCCGGCCGGACCAACACTCAGGGTCTTAAAATAATTGAGAAGAATTTGCTACCTTTCTATAACATCAAGAAATGGTTAGATATTCTAGTCTTCTCGGATAGGGATGAATAAATAGAGGTCCCATCTCCCGCAGGGTTGGGGTAGGAGACGTTAATTTCCCACACACGAGATTACTGTGTGATGGATGTCCTCCCCTGGGGTGGGATGGGTGGGATATTGAGCGCACTTAATTTGAAGCCTCGCTCTGTTGTACGACCCTCACCATACTCTGGTGAAAGTGATTAAATAAATAAATAAATAAATAAACTCATGTTATGTTTATAAGCTCCTGCATCAACATCTGGCATTCTCAGTTGGTATATCTACAAAACTCACCACCACCTCACCACTACAGTATAATTACTGCTGTGCATATTAAATTCAAGATTCAACAATAGTTACAGTTAAATCCAAAAACTTGTTTGAAGGAATAGCAAAAATTCTTACAGCATTGCCAGCATCTTGACAAACAAAGCACACTTTACACTCAATGCACTGCCAAGGTTCTTGTTTAATTCGAGCTGTCAGCTCAGGGGAGTACTTCAAACATGATGGATGACCTTGAAACATAAAGCACCTCACATTACTATTAAAAATACAAAATGTACCTTTCAAGCCAAGCTTTTCATGTATTTTCTTAGCAAACAATGATAAAAGAAACCAAGTTATCGAGTAGCCCATTCACTCCAAAGCTTTAACACAGTTAAAAATTGTTTTCTTTGAAGCTGCTAAAACCAATGTTTGTTGACTTCAAATTTAGCATATTGAAAATACAAGTTGGAGACTACTTGAAAACTATGGAAAATTCAGTTTTTCAATTCTCTGTTTCTAATCTTTATTGAATTAAATCCTGTTTAACTAAACATGTTTTGCTGGTGTAGATGGATTACACAATGTAGGTTTGCCAATGGAGACTTACCACTGTTTCCACAATCAGCACAGGAAATAAGTTCTTCTCCTACACCATCCTTATTGCGTTCTGCTGTCCCAAGGCAAAACCCACAATATGTGCTGGCATCAACTTTCTTTTTCTTGGGCTGAAAATGCCATGAAATACAGTGTCTACCTTCAAAACTCGTGTTTTAAAAAATCCTTACAGTCCATTTGCATGACTTACACAATCAATATAACTCTCATTACCAAGAAAACCTAAGTTAACCACATGTAACTAGTTGCTTTTGGCAAGACTTCCTAGTATATCATTATCCAATGACTGCTTAATTTGGATACAGTTTTACTAATTATATAAGGATCATAGCATTATATGTACCTATTATTTTGCCACTACAACATGAGAACAAGCAAAACTGTAGAGCAGGGCAAAAATATGGACAGAAAGCAAAAGCAATGAAATAGCCATACTAAAATATCTATACTTTGCTTTTATTCCACTTTTTAAGGTTTGCCTGTTAAAGCAACAACTTTTAAGCATATAAAAACTCTTTGATGGTTTCATTTGTGTTGTTGTTATCTCTCACACAGACCATAATGATATTCTCATATACTATGCTCAGATAGACTTCAGGGTGTATTTTGAAAACTAAAAGCCAAAAGACTACAAAATGAAACAGCAGTGGAATTATAAACCCCTCAATCAATGGTTTAACATAAAATAAGAGCAGACATTTCATTCATTGCTTTTATTTTTTCTGAGCCCTCTTGGGGATATTATGATTATGTTGAACCATTGAATAAGCTGTGTAGATATTGCACCCAACTCAGATTTCAAACTATATGCCTATAGCTGTATTCTTCTAAAAGCTGACAGAAACCTATACACTGTATGTCTTCCCATGTATTTCCACAAACAAGCATTCAAAAGCTGAATAAACACATGCATAAAATTCACTCAATTCTAATTACTAAGTAAACCATAAATTTCCCTTCACTTTTTAATAGCTATTTTATATTTTGCTTTGAAACCCATTGTATTATCACCTCATCATTTACATATATACAAACCAACAAATCCTTCGAAAAGCTTCAAAGTTTTCATGTTTTTTATTTTAATCATACGTTATTCAAAATAAACAATAAAGATTCAAGTTTTTATATACCTTAGGTGGGCTTGCTAGCCTGTAATATCTGCCTTCCTTGATGAAAACTCCAGAAGCAAGACCTTTTTTGAGAGACTCTTTAATCCGTGCATTACCAGTGGATTCTAAACTTGCAGCATGATGATCCACTATATAATTATGAATTGCTTGTTGCGTGCACCCATTTTCATCCCCAATATTCTCCAGAGCTTCTTTGATGAAACCTTGGAGATCGGTGGGTTTTTCAACAATTCCACGCATGTGGGCTGGTACTTTTGCAGGGTCCTTGTATGATGCTTTGTTCTTAAACACTACCTTGAGAACTCTACCTGTTTTAACACACAGTTCTAGCTGCTCCAAGGCCTCTTGTTGTTCCAAGCCATAAACATTTTCTAGAATGTGAGCAATTCTGTCTTCGCTTGGACGTTGCTTTTGTCCCTTGACTTTACCAATAGCAGCAATTATCCAAAGAGCATATTTTGGATCAGGCTGACGACCACCATCCTTCTCCTTGTCTTTACCAACACTGCTTCTACCCCGAGCCATCTTCAATCAACACTTTTTGCAGGCAGATCAACTCTGAAAGATGAAAGAAAGACAAAATACTTTTTGAGAAAAAATCTTTTCAAATTTACAAATTATAGTTAAGGAAACGTAAAAAAGACACATCCACATCCAGTCTATTATAATAACTTTGATTACCATGAATGATCTAAGTAAAATCTACTTCTACTTTGAGTATTTAATGTCGAGATACATAACTACAGATTTAAAGCTACTGATACTCTCCTAGCGAAACATGAAATTTGATAAGATTTTATCATGTCAACCATGATCATGTAAAACAGGGTGGAAGCCATCTGGTAAAGTTCTACAATACACTCAACATATGTATCAGCCAGAGTTCACATAATTCTATCTTGAATTTAACAAATATCAAGTGTTCCAAGACAAAAAAAAGACAAAGCAAACAAAATTAATAAAAAAAAACCATTATAATACAAGGAGAACCAACCATGATTTTCAAACAAAAAACACACTGTTATAAAATTTTGACCAAACACTGGCCACAAACCTTCTCGTGGTCCAAACAAATTGCCTGTGGCCAAGATAAATTCACAATGAATACAATGTTTCAATGCATAATTGTACTTACCACGTATTTTGTAGGACTATTATTTCATATGTACAATTTAGACATTCAACATTTCTACCAATTGAAAATAACATGATCAGCAGTGGAAAATGATATCTACACTGCATGTGTAAGTTCTATGACAGAAATAAAACTGACTTAAATTTCATACCTTTCAACCACTTATTCACACATCTAATTTCCACATTAACAACAATATTTGTTAGTGATCATAATCTTGTAATCCATTTGGTTAAATGTCTTCAGGGAAAGCTTTAAATGCAAATGTAACAGCTGCTGCTGAACATGACAATATGGCTGATCATTCATCCGCTCCTATACAAAACTTCACATGTTTAAAAAACAATAATATTATAATCTACCTGCCAAATTTGAGTAAAAAATTTGCATAATCTTCAAATGAAGAAAACAGTGAAACACACTCCAAAAAATGATTTTGACATGTTCTTTCATATCACAAAACTACCAAAACTAATTTACAATTTTGACTTACAGGTCCACTTCTATCAGCAAAAAAATTAATACAGACAAAGTGACCCCAAAATTAATTACAACAGGAAAGAAGTGACTTTGCATAAGTCAGTTTTACTATATAATTACTTGCTTTGTTAGATCCTTTCCAAATTTTTTAAAATTTAAATTACCACTGGAATAAAATATTATAAATAAAGCATGCATTAGATTAACTTTACAAAACTTCATAATTTCGACAACACTGAGAAAATTTTTCAAATCATCTGTTTCAGTGTTCTTCAACATCAAGTTTCATCTACTTTACTTATTATACCAATGGTTTAAAAATAGGATATAAAACTAGATGAACAATGACACTGTGTGGTTCACATATGTGTTGAGGAGCGATAACATTCTTATCTTTTCAGATCATTCGACTGTACCCTAAGAGTAGGTGGTGGCATATTGGAGAGAATAGATTTTCTTTAGAAAAGGTACATGTGGCTAATTGTGATGTATTTGTTTAAAACAATGCAGTGGACATGTGATTCCGTTGATTATTCGCCGGTGTCCTCAACAACATAATACAAACCCCTACATAAGTGAAAGTCCTACAAGTGTTCTATAAAAGAGAATGTAATTTAATGAGATTGCTGAAGAGATGGTCCGATCCCCCACATGGCGAAAAATAAACGTTTCGCAAACGTTAAATGATAATTGCGAACATGAAATAATAAGCATAATAATATAAAAATACCCTGAAATATTTCAAAGTCGAATCATCCAGTGGAGGCCGTAAATAACCTTCTATTCACAACCAACGAGAAACAACATTGATTTTCGAGATATTACTATGTATTGCCCCTAAAGACGCAAAGCGTGATTTTTCAATCATCGCGAAAGTCTAAGATTATTTTCAAAATATCAAGCTTGTTATGTCAACTTGCATGGTCAGGTAACATTGTAAAATCCCAAATATCAAGCATCTCTGTTGGAACTCGAGTAAGTTTGTTAAAATCGCACCATCAAATAATACCCCGTGACTTACAATTGAATAAGTTAGACTATGTGCCAGTTATATCATTCAAGATTGTAGAGTATAAAACAACTCGTCTAACCGGCTAAACGAATAAACTTCAAAACTGATCTCAATATCACATCATTATGTTACCTCAGTACGGTACTCGTATGACCACAGTTAAGCTAGTCGTATGGTTTCGTGGCCGTTAAAATTCCCTTCGATGTCTTTCAGTTTATATCTTTTCTCGCCAGGCGAGATACAAACACTGAAAAAATCGCCAAAAAGAAGGGCAGTCGGCGAACTGAAACTTTACAATGGCCACGTGAAGAGACAATTGGGGGAGATTTTGCATATCGCATGTGTTTATCATTGAAAGAGAAACACATGTTTTACAAGAACGAATTAATGCTTACCTCCAGCTTCGAAGAAAGATAATTCAAATTAATTCCAAGAGCTGTTTATGCCAAATTTCCATCGAACACCTCCTAGTTATGCAGTACAAAGCAAAATTTATTTTAACAAGTAAAGACATATCTACCGTACACAGCAAGTTGACGCCATCTTGCATAATTAGCTAAACGTGTTATGTGATTGGTTGCGAGAAAATAAATTATTTAGCCGGGTTCTGATCTTCTACAAGAAAATCGAGCAGACTATTTTTAGCTGTTAGCGAGTTGTTCCCTTGGCCTTTGTCAAGGAATAACATGGTAAATAAGACTACGATTTTTATTTTAAGACAAAGCAAATCAATACAGGGAAACTTGTAGCTGTAGAAAATAAATTAATTTACTTTAGTGAACCATATCCTTAAGGAGAAATTCTTTCGGTTGAAAATTACTTTATATATTTGTTTTCGTGAAAATTTTCAAATGACCTGTCCAATTCATCTGATGCCCGATATATTCTGTACGATTTCGTTCTTTAAGCGTGTGACGCCGTCACAGCCGTCACAGCCGTTACAAAAGAGGGTAGACTTTTTTTACTTTTAGGCTGGTTTGAGCGAAAAATATATCTGGTAATATGGTATACTATTACACGACTCGGGCAGTCAAAGGGCCAATAACTAAAATCAACCAATCAAAATGCTCTATTGCCGGTCCAATATTCTCT